TTTGGTAGAAGCCATAATCTTGAACAGATTTTCCTTTTGAGCTTAACAGCAGCAGCACAACTGAAGTTCATCATCTCACTTGGAACAAGGTACCTCTCAGACAGGTTACAGGATTTACTTTAGAGATGATTGCCAACAGATCAGTAAGTTTTTTCAAGACAAAAGGATGGAGTATATTTTAAAATTAAGTCTTTCATGTGGAAAGTCTCTTCGTTTCTCAGAATAACTTGGGGTTTCATCAAACACTGGAAACAGAAAATTGCCCAGCAGGTCTTGCTAGAAAATTATTCTTTATAAATACTTCAGCAGATTATTTTTTTTCATAAGGAAAATTTTTCTGACTAGGTTAGGTAGTGATTGGATGACCACATCAACCATAGTATAAAAACTGTTCATTCATTTGTGGGGCATTACAAAGCTTCTAAAGTGGCACCGAAAAGTTCAGTGGTGCTTGCGGTGGTGGTCATAAATGTATTTGCCCTCTAGTCTACTTGACATGCACCCTTCTGCACATACATTTAAAGAGGCAACTCTAGCATAGAGATGCTTGCCTTCCTGTGTGCCTGTGCCCTGGAAGGTGTGTGTGCTGACAGACGTGTCAGCAAGAGAAGGAGTAAGACAGACAACCATCTGCACAGACTGCAGCACGTTGCTCGTTCAGCCTACGTAGTTTCTGCAAGCAGATCTGAAAGGGAAATGACAGTGGAAGGGTGGAAGAGAATATGCATATGGGAAGGAAAAAAAGAAGCTGAAGAGAAAGGCTATCACTGCTGTGAAGGCAGATCCCTTAATACAAAAGTATTCACAGGCACTGTATGTAGATGGCAGCTAACTGCAAATGGAAGGAATCAGTCACCTATGTGAGTGCAAGGATTAACCAAGGACTCCACCTGTTGAAGCCATCAGATTCCAGTTCCTTCCCATTGAAATGATGCACACACCATCTCAGCCACAGTATGCTGCCAGACCCTCACAGAAACTCCATCACCAGCAGGCACCAAACTCTTCCAGGTCTTTTACAGCCATCTTTAACATCTTTCCTTCCTCCTCCCACCCCCAGCATGCGCTATCCCTTCTCAAGTCCCTAAACTGGCAGGTGGGAAACATAAAGCCTGTATTTATCACACAGCCAGTCAAGCAGAACAGATAAATTGTGAGCTCATACCACAGCTCCTCAGATGAAATTTGGCTGAAATTGCTGTGTAACTTAAGAACACTGTGAGGGAAAAGGAAGAGAGAAATGACAGAAAACACGATCATACTAACCTCACCTCTACAAGAAACAAGGTAAAGATAAGCACCAGCCAGACCACCTGACTAGTGGAAATATGCCTGGGTGACAGGAGGACTCTTGTCAGGAACTCTTGCCTCAAAGTTCTTCGTCACCATCACAAGTTGGGTTTCTTTTCCCATCACTCTCCCAGTAAGTTTCAGTTCCAGCTTCGCCATGCGATCACAGCATCACTGTGCCATTTCCATCAGAGCCTGGATTTTCCCTTTTTAAATACCCCCAAAAAGTAATGACATTTCAGAGGATACATTAATGACAGGTTTAGCAGCTGAATTATGTTAAAACCTAAACCTTCGTGACTGTTAACATTTGACACTCTGCAAGTACCAAAAGGGAAGCCTGGAGTTCATGCTTGGTGTTGTACAGAGCCTGCAGATGGCTAGTAAAAAGAAAAGCCAAGGAAGGATAGGCTGTTTCAGGGCAGCTAAAGTCAGCAAACTTTCTTTAAACCAGTAAGGTTTCCTAGTAGAAAAAAGTATTTCTCCCATGCCTAGGTTGCTTCGCAGTGGCTAACCAGCATCAGCCCCAAAGAGCAGGTTTACCCAACACCTCAGCCCACTAATGTAGAGATAAACTCCCCATGAGATTATTTTGAAAAGCTGCACCTGATACTGTTCCTATCAGAGCTGCTCTGCTAAAAACAACTGCCTTTAATTTTCACACACTGTACTAGTAGCTGCTTTAATTACAACCCCGAATTGCAGTAAGGGCCTGACCTCCTCACTTAGCTGTAGCAGTTGAAACTATTTACCTTACATGGGCAAAAAACCCTACAGGGCAGAAAAAAAGAAAAAAAAAAAAAAAAAAAGAGGAAGACATACATAAAATAGCTGTGACATAACCACAAGAATAACAGTAGAAGTGAGTATTTAAACTCCATTGTTTTCATGTTATATTCTTTAGAAATAGTCCAGATTTTATCTCAGAGGAAAAAAATTGGGATACAAGATCAGATTGAGTGTTTTCATTTTTGGTATAGGCTAATAGCCAAAACCATCTCAGGAGAAGGAAAATAATTTTAACTGCTGCTGACTTTTAAGTCAGCAGAAAACAAAAGTCTCAGCTTCTCTTAAAAACTCAAGTGAATGCCCATCTCAAACCACACAATCCTACATAGTTTCATACTGTGGGATTTAGCAGTCTGCTGCATATCTTTTTCAGAAGAAAAGCTTCCAAAAATGAGCAGATGCATCAGTCTGAAAGTATCTTGGAACATTCAAGACATAGAAATTGTCTCTTTTTGTTCTCAGAAAGGATATGGCTTTGCTTTTCCTGTTGAAAGTCACCTACACTAAAAAAGCAGAATCACAAGAAAGGTAGCACAAAATAAATCTATTCCACTAGAGGAATAAGCATTGATTTCTGATAACACACCACCTCTTCCCTGCCTCTCTCCAGATGAGAAATTTCTGTTCTGCCTGTTCCAAAATGGTGTCCTTACAGAAGCAGACACACTCTCCCCACCAGGCTTGTTGCAATTCTGTACCTGTAAAACAAACCCAAAACCCTACAGAAAATTATATTGCTAGAAATTCCTTGCACCTGAATTACTTAAGTTTCGTATCCAAAGCATAAGGGCTGTGTTTGACACAGATACTGCCCATGCTGGCTGACTAGTGTCTCTAAGCAAGTCCACCTCAAGTACAGTTACGTAGATATTTATTATACTTAATGGTTTTATTACAGTTCACAATGCTTTTACCCTACAGACAGGAAGCCACAATATTGCAGCTAAACTGGCATAGCAGGTCATCTTCATTTCCTTCTTAAATTTGGCAAGTAGCCAAAGCAGTTAAATCAGTAAGAAATCCTCATCCCTACAGGTACCATAGGGAGTTTTGGTGCACTAACTGCTACAGGCTATAAATCACCTGAGACTCCTTGGCAAGTAGAAGGTCACACACATGAAAGTGATTCCAAGAGGCAAAACCCATCAGTAAATTCACATGCTCAGTGTTCCTTCGTATGAACAAGCCTTTTCACTCATCACCATCTCTAGAGTATGGAGGTTATGTGCTCTCAAATGCAGATTTGCCGAAGAGCTTCTGATACCTATTAGGTGGTACAGAATAGTCACAGAAAAATCCAGATATTTAGCAAAAGCAAACAAACATAAGATCAGTTGAGAGATATATTTTACTAAGAACAAAAGAAGCTCATTATATACTGTTTCACAGCACAAAACATGAGAGCAAAAACAACCACTCAAGCTACATGTGCATCGATACTTTGGTTCAGCACCACCACAGAGCTGTGCTGCACAGCACTCCCTTCATGGGGCAAAAGCCAGGCCTGGTAAGGGACACTGCACTCAGCTCAGAACCACCTACTTGCTTTACACCTTTACCAGGCAGCAGCTGTGCTCAGTTCCTAACACACTGTATGTTAAATATCAGGCACATTAGGAATAAAATCTCTCCGAACACATAAAAGGAAACGTCTCCATTGCAATTTTAAGCACAGTGACATTTTACCATGTGCCAGGCATCACATACATTTTCCTTGGGCAACAGATAACTTGCTACACTATCTCTACGAGAGGAAAATCTTCCACTTGTTATCTTCCTAATAACCTTCCTGTCTTCATAGACATGAGATGACAATAGTCAAGGGCATACCTGAAATCCTTGGATTTTGACATGCACTGAACTGCTAGGAAACTTTTTAATTGGAAAGGTCATAGGAGACAGATTTCTGGGCATATCTCCAGCTAAATGTCACCTTTTCAGCAGTGCTCTCAGAGGTTATATAAAACGCAGACAGGCACTTTTCAGTGACACACGTCTCCCTTGCAGCAGGCCCACCTGCCTCCTAAAGGCAAAGCTTGGATCCTCCAGGGCTGTACAGCAGAACTGCTGTCTTGCAATTCAAAGCTCTGGAAGGTAGAGACCAGTCTGTACTCTCCACCTCTCTCTCTGTAGCCATGCACTGATCCAAACCACAAACCAGAAGCTGATACAGTGAGAGGCTTGTGAAATGTCACCGAACAAAAGTGAGATATTCTGAAATCTGCTGTTACTTTGGTTGGGTGCTTTTTTAGCCTGAAATTGAAAAATGTTTATAAACCCAAAGATGCTCAATTTTGAACTGTAAATTGAATTCGGTCTCTCACATCCCAGACAAGCATCCTAACTCTGGGTGCACTGTGGTGTGAATGGATGGATGGATGCCCTTTGCACCCCCTCCTATGCAGTTACACTCTTGACCAGAGAAGATTTCCCAGTGTCAATCCAAACTATTTGCTGGAACAGATTCAGTCCTGATGAACTAGTACTTTCCAACAACAAACAAAATTTTGTCACTAAATTTACAAGTAGTTCTAGCAACACAATGAGCTGAAATCAGACCTCAGTCTTTCTACTCACATCCTTACTGTCTCACTGTTTTCCATTAATGGATTATGCTTCTTTTCTATTTCATTGGTGAGATGAGGGAAAAAATTGTTTCATTTTGTCCACTGCTATTCTCAGTCCAAAGCCTTCAGCATGTTTAAACATAAATCCCTGGAGCTTCTAGCTCTTAGCACTACTCCCAGTTAAGCAAAGGAAGAGTAAAATCCAGTCTCAGGGCACTGCAATAATTATTCCCTGCAACCCCTGTCCATTCCTAGTCTGTATCACAGAAAAAAAACAAGCGATTTACTATCCCCAGAGTACACACACACCAAAACAAACAAACAAAACCCAAACAAACAAAAAAGGCAACAAGTATTTCCAGAATTTTATTAACTTCAACAAAATCTGCCAATTAAAGGGTGGTCAGTTGTTTGGAAAGGATTCAGATACACATTTAAATGCCAACTGTGAATATTTAACAAACTATGTACAACTGTGCCAGCCATCAACTGAACACTAATCAATGTAATCCAAATCTTCCGGGATTCCAAAACCTTTATCAATTCTGCTCTCTTCAAATCCAAACTTACGTTTGGCCCAGGACTTTATTGAAAAGATGTTATCTGTAAACAGAATGAAAAACGTTCAGTCTTGAGTATTTAGGAAAGTATGAATTACATTCCTGGCTATAACAAAATCATTCCATTTGCAATATCTCTTGTGTATATGAAAAAGGTACAAAGTGGGGGACATCATTATTAACTAGATTTAGAACAGAACACAGGAGGCTTTTGTTAATAACAATTTTACTCAGTGCTAAGTAAAATATTTCATCTTTTTTGGAGGTTATTTTTATCTTTTCTTGCTCCTCTTTTGTAAGGAGATTGAAAGCTACAATTACACTAAGTCTGCTATAGTGGTAAGTGTGAATATGCACAGGAAGTATTTTATATGTCATTCTTCAACGAGACACCATGTGACTGTTTACAACTGCAAAAATGAGATTCAAATTAACTGTAAGGTCCTTTCTAGTCCTGCATATGTTTGTTCAGACCGTACAATTCTTGAAAGGTAAAAACACATATTCACAAAGCTTTACTTTAGTCTGCACTTCTCTTTTAGCACTACATTATTATTTTAGCATACACATTTTCTACAATTTAACATACTTTTTCACTTCAGTATTGACTGAAACACATTATGTCATTTCTAACACCCATAAATTGCAGCATTCCTTAAGAGAGGAAATGTCCCCTCTCTGTACACTTTAGAAATATTTTCTTTTCTTTAACCATCACACATTTGGTTTTAAATCTCTTCTAAAGAAAAATATGCTACAGCACATAACCTAATTATCTAATGATATAGTGAAGTATTTTCTCCAGACTGATGCTTTCTACAGGCTTTACCTCATTCAAGGCCTTGAGGTCAACAGCAGAAAGCCCTGACAACAGTATTCCCAGAAGTTATTTTCAAATACATAATTTTATTTGCCCATATGCAGTAAACAACCCAGTGCAAATGAAGATATAAAATAATAATAGTCAAGAGACTAAGACAACAATATCCTGCTGCATGTAGCATAACCAAGCAGCCCACCAGTAGGAAATCAATTCTAGACAAAAAATTACACACAATATTCTAAATAATTAAAAAAAACAGTAGGGACAAAAGAAGTTGCTAGCTCTGCAAAATGAAAATGCAATATAGCAATGCTAAGCAACAACAGAAAATTGAGTTAAACTTCTATATGAATGTTATCACAGTAAACCTTCCTTGAAACTGTGCAGCATTCTCCCTGCACGTCAAAGCCGATCAATTAGTTTGAGAAATACCTATTTATGTCAGCATCCATCACCACAGCAGCAATAAGGCTCTACAAAGCATCTGACTCATTAGAAACAGATGAGCATTCAGAATAGAATTAAACTTTCTGAATACCTGGACACTACCATTTCCAATCTCTATTTTTATTTTATGCGATTTTTTTTTTGATAATTTTCTTGATCTTAAGAGATTTTAACTCAATCAAGGAAATGAGTTGCAGGTTTTAACACAGAGTGCAAGAGAGCAGAGGGACAAATCTGTTATGCCTTATGAAGTATGTTCAGTAACTAAACAAAGAAAATGTATACTTCTATTTGAATCATAGCACTTTCTAAGGAAAATAAATTTCTGCATGCTTTTGTAAGTGAGGTCTATCCTACATCAAGTCCTAATCAAACTTCAAATTCTTAACAATGAGTAAGTAGGTCTTTCACTGAAATGGCTCCAGTGCAAGGCTGTGTCAATGCCATACACACCTGTCCATCTATTGGCTGCCTCCTTGGCTACTTTGTTTGTTTGGCCTGAAACAGAGAAAAACAACAACAATAAAAGCACACATCACAGAAATCATCCCAGAGTTTCAAGACAAAGAGATTACATTTTTATTGATGCCATTTTTAGGGAACCACACAATATAAGGAAGTTATTCTACAGCTTCCAAATGCTTCTTTTAAGGCTGCAGCCAGCAGAAACCTAGGTTAAAGAAAAGCAGGAGCAAAGAACATAAAACATACCATATGAACAACTGTGAGTTTTAAGGTGTATTTGAAAGTAAAATAATCCTAGTTTGGCTTGCCTGGGGCCTTAATTGTCTGCACCAAGATTGGAACTAGATACATGCCCTGAGGATACCGGAGGTAACAGAGATGGAAAATATTCCATAATCCTCCCTATACATAAGTAATCCATTGCATGGGTATGAATAGATAAGGAAAATGACAAGGCAGCAGTCTACCACATTAATCCAAAAGTTTATCACATAGCTCTGGAAAGTCTCCCAGGCTTTGAGAATCCCTTCAATGAAATAAAGACAAAATAATGTTTCTGGTTATTAAACTTGGCTTACCTCCCTTACCACCACTCCACAACTACATAATAGTAAATTACAAAATAGTAAATACATAATAGCAAATTACCATTACTACAAACAGTTTTTATATAGTTTCCATTAGGCAAAACTATCAAGAAAAATTCCTCTTGGATCACCTTGCTCCCATTAAAATAAGTGCTGAATCAAATCAAGCAGGCTGGTTTGTAATGTGGGAATTTATCAGAATCGTTATGGTTCTCACGCCTACACATAACTTAGTTATTCCCAGTTAGTCTTGTTAGCACTTGTATGATAATACTCATTTGAATGGTCAGCATGAAATCTGTCTCCAGGGGTACTGGGAAGTGAATATATGATCAGGTATCCATTGTTATACAGATTATACTCTTAAACAAAATTAAATTATGTTGAAAAATTATCTGCTGGCACACAGGAAGGTAAGTACTCATTATTCTAACTTTAATACGTGGGTAACTGATGTGAAAAATGTTTACAGTGGAGTAAAATGCAATTTCAAAACCAGTGTAGTTTCTAAAAATGGCCTACTATTAGAAAGTTTGGGCACAGCATGAAGAAAAGTAAAAAGATGGGCAAAAAACAGAGTGGGTGAGAAGATGGCATTTTTGCTTGCTTGCGTGCATCAGAGTCACGTTGTTCCTAGCTTGTTAGAGATATTCCTTACATCCTTTGCTGACTGCTGTTGCTATTCCTACTTGTTGAGTTCCATGGCTGGCAGCACTGACAACATGCTTGCAGCCAATGGCATTTGGAACAGTACTTACCCAACTTTACTTAAAGCAAGTCTGCAGAGTAAAGGCTTTCACTGGTCAAGATCTTAAATGTGTTAGCTGTGATACTTTTCTCAGCATTTTTCTGAGACTCCCCAATAAAAAAAGCTGTATTTGACTCCAAGTCATGAAACTTGAAATGAAGTGGGGGAAAGCAGGATAGCATTAAACTCCATGGATTCAGAGCTGCAAGATAACAGCATCTTGATGGCAGGGGAGCCAACCTATTCCACAGCACCTGTGAGGTCTCAGCTGAAGTTCTGCTTTGCTTGCTGGAAGCAGCTAACCAGATGAACCCTGAGCTTTTGTATTCCACAGCAGCTCTAAGGCCCTGCAGCTTTCAGCACACAGCTTTGTGCTTAAAGCCCAGTGGCCTTATGGTACAGTGCATAAAGGAAACAACAATAGTGACAGCATGGTGCATTGTTACCCTGCAAACATTGCTCATGGGTGTTAAAAGATACACAGGAGAGCATGTGTTTTGAAATGTGACTTCATACCTCTGTCAGAGAAAAGGCTGAGGTGACCAACAGATATAGACTGGGCAACAGTGTGGCTAGAATGGCAGTCACTGCCTATAACGGAGTTGTGGCTAGAAATGAAATCATGGTAGTGAGAGAAGGAAGTTGTCATGGGGAAATCCCACAGTGGGCAGTGGCTTCAATGACTTCAATAGCAGAGAAATAGAATAAAATCAAAACAAACCTCAACACCCCCCCCCCCAAACAAACAAACAAAAACTTCTGAGAGTAAACACTACACAAATAAAACAAAGCAATATTTTAACTGCAACATTCTTTCCATGCACCACCTGGGACTGATCACAGACTGGCAGCAGAGTGTCACGGTAGAAGCATGGAAGGATCACAAGAAGGCAGAACCTCCGGAGGGGGAAGGTGATTCAAACGATTTGTCTGAATATCAAAGAAGAGGCTGCGTCAGTTCTTCAGAAATTGGAATCACACATCCCCCACATTACTCTGCTGCCAGAGGGGGAAATGAAAGCCACTTGCAAAGCATCAGGCATATCACCTCTCCGGGAAATTAATTCACAAGAGTGTTTGCTGCCTACTATTTCCCATTAGCTGGCCTAGACACCCATGTACATGACAGCACCATAGGGATGCAGGCATGGATTTATTCTGCCACATTGAAAGCTGCTTAGACCATCAGGCACATTTTATCAACAGTGATGCCAGCTAGCTTGGCAAGTTGCAAGACACCCATGTTTTCCTCATGTCCAGCATGGGCAAGCTCATGCAAACAAGACAGCCTGCACTGTCTCTTGTCATCAAGGGAGACTGTCACTGTCACTGCTGCAGGATGGCTCTGCAGTCTGATTAACTACTATCTCCTTCATTTAAATTGGGGGAAACACATCTCATCCATCTTCAGAAACTACTACGTCATCACTTCAGTTGCTGCCTCAAGACTACAGGCTGAACATTTAGCTATCTGAAGTCAAGAGTTAAGTCCCTTGGGATCAGGTGTAACTCTTGCTTATGCTTCCACTGCATGATCAAGTGAGCCTGCTGTAACTAACACCATGCCTGAAAGAGGAAGGAGAGACAGGCTTTGGTACTTATGGACATGCAACACCTGAAGACACCAGCCACATCTGCATCATCAGATGATGCTCCACCCAAGAACTGACAGAAACAAAGGAATATGCACCTTGACTCCTTTCTGGAAACCTTTTATAGCTGCTCATTGGGACTTTCATTGGCTGCATCATCTGTATGTGTACATGCATGGAGGGGGAGGGAAGGAAGAGTAGAAAAGCAGACACCCCTCCAGACACACCTACTTTACCTACTGATGTAACTGACTCAAAGTCATGCTACTTCTTATTGTCTATTCTCTAGCTCCACAGGATCACACAGCCATTGGTCCCCTGGTTTTTATACTGTACTGAAAAAGTTCAAGATCTAAAGACAGCAATAGCATGGGAACTTAAAAATATATACCCCAAAGAAAAATCAGGACACCAACTGTAAAAGCTCAGACAACTTTAAGGACAACTGGCTCATTGCCAAAACCACCACAACCACTGGGTCCCAAGGTTGGCTGGAATCCTGCTGATCCTCCTACTGACCAGAACTGCTCTAACTGAACTTGATTTTGGGCAGCTACTTAAATAGTACTCCAGTACTGAAGCTGCACAAGACAATGAAAGGGCCAAATGAGCAGTAGAGGTGACCAATACAGGAGGCAACATATTCTCCAGATGCTTCCAGACATTCTCATTACTACTGTTAGGCTCTAGTCAAACCCTGTATCTATACATCTCACACAGGCTGACAATATTTATAAGTGCTGTCTGGAAGTAACAGAATAATCCATTTGTTCTGGACATTACATATTTATTTCACCTACTTGCGTGACAATGACCCAACAGACTTTCCTACTCCCATGTCAGCAGGGTACAAGTAATTTATTTGGCTAGGGCACACACCTGTATCATCTGCTAACAAATTTCAGGCACACTTGACATTTTCTAAGAAAGAAAATGGAGGTTTGCATTTTCTTTCGAAAACTGAACAAAAAGAGCCACTATGTGTATAACAATGCAAGACCCAGGAGCAGCATGACTTGCAATGCTGGTCTGTTATGTTAGCAAAACACACCTGGAAGTATGCCCTAAACAGGGAAAGGCTAAGGGCCAAAGAGTTAGTTTTGATCAGTCCTCACTTTTTCCCCTCAACCTCAGGTATCTCTGGAGAACTGCAGGGTTTTCCTCTAAGCATCTGTGATTGTCCTTATCACGGGGACATCCCCTTAGAGGAAAACAAAGGTCAAGAAAGGAAGGTCCAGCAGCAGTGAATGTGTGAAAAGAAAGCAAAGGAGGGTTGGAAACACTTTTGAATGCAAGAGTGATATTCTACCAGCAACCTGCAGGGATTCTGGAGCAGGCCAGGAGACAGAGCTGACAGAAGGGCACATGGACAGCCGTAGGATGTGCACTAAGAAGCTTTCTAAAGTGAATGGGCACCTGGTCTGGAGTGAAGAACAGCAGCAAAAACATTATACAGCAATGTTGCTGAACAAATCTGAAACGGCAACATACATTGTTCAAATCTTAGCACAGTAAGGCCACATTGTTTCTGGTCTGGCTCAGGAAGACCTATAGTCATTCTCAGCACACTGCAGAACTACAGCCTCCTCTTTCCTTTCTTACTTCTTCCTTCCCCCAGATTCTCTCCCCCTTTTTTTTTCCTAGAAATGGGGAGCTGGTGGGAATTAAAAGTCCTATTTGCATTCCAAAATTGAATGGCCAAAACCAAGGAGGGGAAAAAACCTCACTACATGCCTCATCAACACAATTTATACACTAAGTCAGTCTTGCTATCAGACTTTGGATACTTCCATAGGTAAAAAAAAAAAGTGAGAGCAACTATCACCACCATCACCTCACAAACAATTTCCAAACCTACTTTCATGTTCTTCCTAAATTTGCCTTTTTAAGTCCTGCACATATCATGAAAGGAATACTAATGACACAGTCATTACACAGTACTCAAATTCAAACTGTAAAGGCAACATATTACAGCTCCAATAGCTATACTAAAAAGAATAAAATAATCTCAACAGCCAGAACCACCTCCCAGCCACCTGTAGACTTGGAAACTGACAAAGAGCTGTAGCTTCCTTTGATCTCCTAGCTTCTACTCTGGTATTTTCA